CCGCTCAACAGGAATAAAATAGACATGATACCTCAATGAACATGGTGCATTCTCTAGAATAAAGCATATGTAAGGGCACTAAGCAAGCCTCCAAATATTCAAATACATAGAAATACCAGAAAACATTTTCTCAGATCACTATGCTAAAAATTAGGAATTAAGGAAATTAAGGTGGGCTTGGGGTGGGGGGTGTGAGTGGGGATCAAGTACATAGGAACTACATGACACGATATGTGAGCACAACTGGGTAACAGAAGAAATAAGAAGTATCAAATTTCTTTAAACAGAGGACAATATAGGTACAACATACCAAAATGTTGGGAAATGGTGAAACACTGTTCTCAGAGATTAATTTATAACAATAAACACATGAAGAAAGAAGAAAGAAATCAACACCTTAATCCAACTTCAAGAAATGGGATATAAACTGCAAAGCTTATGGTCTCCAAAAGTCAAGGCATACCAAAAAACAAACAAAGAAAAAAAAATCAAAAGGAAAAAGACACGCACAGGTAAATTAAGTAGAAAATAGGGTAATATTAGAAAGAAATAATAAAATCAAAATTTGGTTCATTGAGAAGTTAATAAAATTGACATGTCTCTGGCAAATATAAAATGGAAAAGAAGGAAATATCCTATGTTGCTTAATTAAGGAATGAAATGGAATGAAGTAGAAACATAATGAAATAAAAGAATATTTTCAAGAACTAGTCCGAAAAATTTGAAAATTTAGAAGAGATAGACAAAATTTAGAAACTCATACAAAATTTGGACAAGATTCTTAAAAAAGAAGAAACTTAACAAGTCATAAAAACAACATTCAAAGTCAAAAAGTAGTTGGCATCATGGATGACTTCTGCAAGCCACATAAAGACACTACTACAAAAGAAACTTATAACAATATATATATGAACTTTGTAAGCCAATTCTATGATGAATGGAAGGGCAGAGTTTTGTCACAAAATCCTATCCAATAGAAGCCAACATCATATAAAGAAATAATTCATCATGATCAAGGGGGATTCGAACTAGGTCTGCAAGGATGGTTCAACATCAGAGAAACAATAGGTGTGATGCACACCTAACAAGCCACTTGATCATCCCAATTGGTGTATAACAATGCATTTGAAAAAATTCAGTACTTTTTCTTAATAAAGTTGACCAAGAAAATAGAAATTCAGGGGAAATTCCTCTACATAATTATAAGCATATATACAAAATCAAATGCCAATATTACTCTCAACGGAGAGAGATTGAAGGCATTCTTCTTGTGAACAAGAACCCAACTAATAGGCATTTTATCACCACTTCTATTTAAAATTATACTGGAGGTCCAAGTCAGAACAATAAGGCAAGAAAGAGAAATCAAAGTCACCCCAACTGACAAAGTAAAACTATCTTTATTTGCAGGTGATGTGATACTATATATAGAAAATCCCAAAAAATCATGAAGAAAATTGCTGACATTAATTGCCCAAATCAGCAAGTGGCAGTATGCAAAAACAATATGCAAAAATCAAGTCGGATTTCCTTACCGAAACCAAGAGAACTCTTCAACAGAATTAAGGAAAACCCTTAACAAGATAGACTGACACAGTGACTCCAGCAACGGGCTCAGGTGTGTCAGAGGTGCTGAGGATGGCACAGGACAGGGCTCCAATCTGCTGTTCACAGGGTCACTATGAGCTGTGCTTGACTTGACAGCACCTGAGAACAACAAACCCAAAGGACAAACAGATATGTCTTGGAGAAAGTGCAGCCAGAGCGCTCCTCAGATGCAAGAATGGCGAAGCTGCATTTCATACACTCTTTGGGTGTTGCTTAGGAGGGGCCAATTCCTTGGAAAGGGACATCATGTCTGGAAACGTGACGGTTCAGCAAAAGAGAGGAAGACGCTCCGTGAGATGGAACGACACAGTGACTGCACAGTGGGCTCAACTATGTCAGAGATGACAAGGATGGCACAGACAAGGCCCCTCTCTGTTTTCAATTGGTCTCCACGAGTCCTATTCAACATGATGGTACCAAGCAACATTTTATATGTAAGGAGATCTGACGGCTGTAGTTCGCTGCACTGCTAACCAAATGGTCAGGCGTTTCTGGTGGTTCAAATCTACCAGCAGCTCCATGAAAGGAAAGATGGGCAATTTCTCCCTTACAATTACAGTCCCTATGAGTCTGCAGAGAATTTATTGTGAAAGTGAGTTTGGTTTGGCTTTAGTGCATATAAATGTAAAAAGAAAAAGAAAAAACAAACCCAAATCATGTTATACATACTGGGGTGTGCGGGGGTGGGCATTCAAGCTACCTGTTTGGGACTGTCAGCACAACCCCTTACTCACTAAGCTACCAGCACTCCTATTACTAGGTGGTGCTTGTGGGTCTTCAAGTTGGAACCAACCCATGGTTGACCCTCCAGTGGGTTTTCAGAGGTAGTAAAATGGAGACTTCCCAACCTTCTCCCATAGGTTTTAACCACATGTCTTTCGGCTTACACCAGAGTTCCCTTATGTATCCTAAAACAATAAGAACACTTACACAAGTGGACAATGTTAAACCATTAAAATAGCAAAACATGGAGACAACCCATTATCCATCAACGGACAAACTGCTCAACTATGGACGTGTCGTAGACAGTGTCACAGATGAGAGCCACAGATTGGCAAGGGAGTAGAGAGGAAGCCTTAAGTGGGGATTTGAAGGACACATGGCCAAGGGTGGCCCACATCATGTCGTTGTGGCTGACAGGACCGACAGGCCCCAGCTCCCAGCTGGAAAAAAAGGAGGACACTTCAACGATTTAGATCCTCCCAGAAGAGCTGTGGGTGAGCATCAATATTACTGGCAAGTATATTCGTTTTCTCCTGGACACAAGAGCCTACTATTTGGTCCTAAAAGCCGTCTGAGGTCCCAACTCTTCTCACTATTTCTTAGTTGTTGGAACTGACGGAAAACCTCATAAGCAGTTCCTTACTTCACCTCTGCCTTGCATGCGGACTTCTGAGCTGTAGAACAACCCAGTGGTAGATGGGATTTGTTCCAGGACTTAAGAACACTAAAAGACATAGTTGAGCCTCTACATCTCGTGGTTCCTAACCCTTTTATACTATAATAGAACCAAACTAATTCAGACCAAACTAACTCAGGCCAAGGCGTTTTTGATCATTTGCTATATACCTGAGACCTGGAAAAAGAATAAGGATGACAGAAGAAAAATTGATGCCTTTGAGTCATGGTGTTGGAGAGGAGGGCTAACATATGTGGGACAGCCAAAAGGACAAATGGCTGAAATTTAGAGAGTGTTTAGCCAGAGTGCTCTTTGGAGGCAATAATGATGCAGCTTTTCCTCACATGTTTTGGGCATGTTGCTAGGAGAAGCTGTTCCTTGCAGAGCGACGTGATGCTGGCATGTATAGAGGGTCAGCGAAGGAGAGGAAGACCTTCAACCAGGTGGATTGACACAGTGACTGCTGCCATGAGCTCTTGTATGTCAGGAAGTGTGAGGATGGCAC